CCAACATATGGTGATCTTAATCATTTAGTTTCAGCTACCATGTCTGGTGTAACAACATGTCTTCGATTTCCAGGTAAAAGATCATCAATTCTTTGTTTTTGGTTGATCATTATTTTTATTCTTTTTCTTTTTGTTCAATTGAAATAGGTCAATTAAATGCTGATTTACGTAAATTAGCTGTAAACATGGTTCCATTTCCACGTTTACATTTTTTTATGCCTGGTTTCGCACCATTAACATCTCGTGGATCACAACAATATCGTGCATTAACTGTTCCTGAACTTACACAACAAATGTTTGATGCTAAGAATATGATGGCTGCATGTGATCCTCGACATGGTCGATATTTAACTGTTGCTGCAATCTTTCGTGGTCGAATGTCAATGAAAGAAGTTGATGAACAAATGTTAAATGTACAAAATAAGAATTCTTCATATTTTGTTGAATGGATTCCAAATAATGTTAAAACAGCTGTTTGTGATATTCCACCTCGTGGACTAAAAATGTCAGCTACATTTATTGGTAAGATAAAGATAAACAAAATCTTTTTATGAGTGTAAATAATTGTGATATATATAATTGTAGGTAATAGCACAGCTATTCAAGAATTATTCAAACGTATTTCTGAACAATTTACTGCTATGTTTCGTCGAAAAGCTTTCTTACATTGGTATACAGGTGAAGGCATGGATGAAATGGTAAGTTAAGTTAAAATATAGATGAAAATAATATGATGAAAAATGTATTTTTTTTTGTTAATGTTATAGGAATTCACTGAAGCTGAATCAAATATGAATGATTTAGTAAGTGAATATCAACAATATCAAGATGCAACAGCCGAAGGTTAGTTTTTTTGAATTTTGTTATTGTTTTTGTTAGATTTATGTACTTGATTTTTATTGCAGAAGAAGGTGAAGGTGTCGAAGGCGAAGAAGAAGAACATGCTTAAAGAGTGGCTTTGCAGCAATAGAACTTTTGACAATATTCAATATTATCGCTTATATTTCTATATATCTTATTTGTTCGTTTGCCTTGTCTTCGTATGTAGGTGGTTAATAAAGCATGCATATATTCTTCTTTAAACAATATCTTTGTCATTCATTGCTCTTAACTAAAAAAATAAATAAATCTTATCAAAATAATTGAATTGTTGCTTTTCTGAATAAATGAAATTGATGAGGTTGTGATGAGAAGATCAATGATGGAAGTGTTCGGGAAAAGTATTTTTATAGATTGCATTTTTGAATGAAAGAAATGAATGGAAGAATTTCATAGGGGCTACGGAGTTTCGAGAAATTTCATGTTTTGTTATACTCTGATATATCTTTTGTTTTATAAGTTAATAGACTCTAATATTTGCCAAGTACTTAAAAGATAAGAACCTGCAACTGCTATTCTTCATTGAAATTTATTTCAATATATATATATGCGCGATGTTTTTCTTTCAACAGAAATTCTATTGTAAGAAGTTTAATCATTTACATCAACAAACTGCTTCAATTTGTTATGCATAATAACGCTTAACCACCTTCTCTATTTCTTGCTTATTTCCTTTGCTTGAACGACTTCTAGAAAATTTTAATAAATCATAATTACAATAGAATTGCGAGCTCAATAAGTATGTAATTAATCATGCGATCGGATTTTTCGATGCCCTTCATAATCTCATATTGCATTATTTGTTGGTTTTTTTTTTTGCTTTTGTGCGATGAATATAAAATTCTGAGTCATCCATAGTTGTGAGTTGCCGCCCTCTGATAGGCTTTTATATATATAATTGCGAGCGCTCCGTTGTGTAACCAATAAACCTACGACGTCCACCATTTGTTTGTCTGACTAAAAAGAAAGAACGATGGTTACGAGCTGTTCGTACTGACGATGGCAAACAGAAGGGGCTCTATTTTATGCTATTTCTCTTTTTCTTTTTCTGCTTTTTTTTTATTCTTATCTGACTAAGCACCCTAACAACTCTCTCCTAACCGATTTAATTGCGTGCGTCGTCGTCGGTGATTGTTAAAAAAGTATAATTCTTTTCTGATTGTATATCGCTACAGATCGATTAGTTCTTCACTCTTTAGTTTAACAACAAAAAATGCGTGAAATAGTTCATCTCCAAGCTGGTCAATGTGGTAATCAAATTGGTGCTAAAGTAAATAAAATATTAGAAAATGCTTTCATTATTAATAAATGATATTTTTCTAGTTTTGGGAAGTTATTTCGGACGAACATGGTATTGATCCAACTGGTACATATCATGGCGATTCTGATCTTCAACTTGAACGTATCAATGTCTACTACAATGAAGCAGCTGGTAAACAAATTCTTTCAAAATCATTATTCTCTTTAAATTCTCATTTTATTTTAGGTGGCAAATATGTTCCTCGTGCTATTCTTGTTGAT